CCTGCCACACACCGCCTAGACGGCGGCGGCGGCGGCGACACCCTGCCTCCAGGGTGCTCACTGGCTGCTGGGGGATAAATACACCGCTGCTGAATAACTAGCAGCCGCACCAGTGATGATTTGGTGTAATTACAGGCCGGCCAGCGACTCAAGCTGCGTGGAAACTGAATAATGAAGTCGCCCCACTCCACAGGTAATAGCCGTTAACCGCTCCTGTGACTTACTGGCATACGGCCTGCCGCCCCGGAGCACTCAACCGCAGCCTGTTTAGTGAAATACCTTAAATACCTTAAAACACTTCGGGGATCACAAGCTCATTTCCCATCTCAGCCTTTTTAATGTAGGAAAGCTTGGACCTCTTTTTACCAGCTTATTCTTTAACAGCTAATGGTATGACTGCTTCATAATCTGGCTGTGCTTAACTGATGGGCATTTAGGTGATGTATTTTTCTTTTCATTAATGATGCAGTGAACATTGTAGGGTGTTTTTTCATTCCCTTATGATGACTATTTCTAGTGTAGACACCACACATTGGAACGGATCTGTGAAAGACTAAGTGTGTTTATAATTTTGACAGACAGTTCCCATTTGATTTTTGTGTGAGAAAAGATAAGAAAAATTCAGAACTTGGCTAGTCACAAATCAGAATTACAAATGACCAGTTAGTGAAAGGATGCTCACTTTTGATTGAAAAACATCCTTCAAAAGCCTTTAAAAAGCAGGCCATTTGTACATATCAGATTATCAAATACTAATCATCCCCGGGCTGATGAGGGTGTGTGGAAATGAGTATTTTCACAAACTGTTAATAGAATTTGCAGATCGGTATAACTCGTCAACACAGCAATCTGGCAAATACATGCAAAGCTTTAGAAAATATACCTGCCCATCGTTACATCTATTCTAGTTATGGCAAGTGAATAAGTCTACAGGTACAAGGATATTGTATGTACACAGAGGGTCACTGAAATATTGGCTATGAGGCTGACTAGAGCTAACTTAAATGACTAACAAGAATACATATATCTTAGAATATAGTGCAACTCACTGGATTGTCTTCCACAAAGACTTTGGATGATCCGGGTGTCTTAATTAGGGGTTAATGGTGGTTGGTTGGTTGGCAAGGTTTATATACCCAATCAAACTAACTAAAAGCGTCACGGGAAGGAAACAAGTGTACTCCAGGCACTCCTGATACAGCACACCGCAGCTGTCAAGTAAGACTGTTGACACTGGGATTATTTCAGCTTGGCTTCATTTCAAAGGAAATCTCTTCCCTTCCTAACTTGATCCAAGAAGCAGAGTGGCAAGGATGGGGGTAGACAGTGGGAAAACTAGATTGTCTTTGCTGTCCACAATGTTTCTGCTGTTGGGGCTGGGGGCAGGAAGTACGGAGGTGCCAACAGTGGGCACGGGGTAGGGAGTAAAGCCAGTGAGGGCAAATGGTCACCACTCATCGGCACTCGAGGACAGCTTTGACTGCGGTGTATTTCCAAACATTATTACTTTTATTGTACATGAGTCTGATGCAAAAATATCAACCTGCTCTTGTTATTTTTAAGCCCGTGAGTCTGTGGACACCCGGTTCGCTGCTGATTTCCCAGTCCTCACTCAAGCCTGAGGCTTGTATTATTCACAGATGCAGAGTCCTGTGTCTGCCATGAGAAAGGACCTGAAGTCCCACAGTGCTGTTTTGCTTTCATCCCACAGAACTGTCAGAAGTTTGTGATCCAAAGCTGACTTCAAGGAAAAACCAAGGAGAAGGGGTGACGGCAGAGAGTCTCCAGCTTGGTCCCCAAGCATGCTCTGACGTCTCGGAGTGGGCTGGAGTGACTGCTGCTGAAGCGCTTTTTGTTAAATGTCCTGTGTCTAACATGGCCGCCTCATCAAGCCAGTTTGTCCCTGTGGTGATACCTCTGATGTTGAAAAAGACCTGACCTCTGCCTGAAGGCTTCTCCACAGTTGTTACACTCATAGGGCTTTTCTTCGTTGTGAATCTTCACGTGCTGAGCGAGGTGTGAGTTGAGTCGGAAGGCCTTCTGGCAGATGCTGCATTTGAAAGGCTTCTCTCCAGTGTGAATCCTGTGGTGTCGAATGAGGTCTGAGGTCAAGCTGAAGGCTTTCCCACACTCGTTACACTGGTGGCTTTTGGAGTGACTGTGGATTCTCTGGTGGTGTGTGAGGAGAAGGGCCTGACTGAAGGTTTTTCCGCACTCCTTGCACTCACAGGGCTCCTCCTGACTGTGAATTCTCTGGTGTCGATTAAGGTGGGAGCTGCGCCGAAAATTCTTACCACAGTGAATACAGAGATATGGTTTCTCACCAGTGTGGATCCTGAGGTGTTCCAGAAGGCCTGCGTTCTGGCTGAAGACTTTTCCACACTCCTTGCACTGATAAGGCTTCTCACCAAGATGGATTTTCTGATGCCTAACAAGGTGTGAACTTCTTTGAAAGGCCTTCCCACACTCGTGACACTGATGTCCTTTGTCTCTGGAGCCAATTTTTTGAGGCCTAGTCGGACTAGAACATGGAGGCACGTCAGAGTCGCAGAGCTTCTCTCCAGGGCACGCACCTGCATCGTTGCTTGGGTCCGAGTGCTGGGCACGTCCCTCCCCCTGTCCTGAGCACTGAAGGCCAGTCTTCTCCTGGGGCTTGGTCTGCTGCCTATCCCCATCAGAGACCACACAACGTGCCTCGAAGGGCTGGGTGGTTTTCGTGGGTGACTCCACTCCTCCGTGAGAGTCTATCTCGACAGTGGGATTCTCATTCTCCGTCCTTTTCTTCTCCCCTGGAACATTAAAGACAACACCAATTCTTTGTTTCTTGGTGCTTGGGGATCTGCAGTTGGGGGTGGGGTGGGGGTTCAAATCGAGCCTGCGTGCCCAGTGGAAGTACAATGATGCCGGTGTTTGCAGAGAGGGAGACCGAGGAGCTCGACAGCGAACAAGTGGAGGCTCACTGGCATAAGATGATTAAAAAGAGCAAGCAGGTAACAGCCGAAAGTGAAATGTGGGTGAAGAGACAGGTAAGGGAACAGCAGTGAAAGTAAAGGTGCATGTCGGGGGTTGGGGGGGGATTTAGCTGTGCAAGCGGGGTACTGAGCGCAAAGGCCCTGCCCAGAGTCCCGCATAGCTGCAGGGGTGGCAGAGGCAGTCTCCCCACAAACCAAAATCAGCCTCAGCTTTGAATACACTAACACTTCCAGCAGCTCTAGAGGAGGGCTTTAAAGAATCTACAGTGACTACATTCACTTGTCATGTTTAAAATATACCCGAGAGGCTATACAGGAAAGACAGGCCCCACTCTTTCAACTACTTTTACTCAAGGAAAGCGTCTAGCAGGACCATGACTTTGAAGCAGAGCCTACAACTCAACAGGGAAGTAGACAGTAAGTAAAGGAAACCTTTAAATACAAATTAAAAGATTAAAAATCTTCTTTTAAAAAAAGATTGATGGGGCCCTCCCTGGCGGTGCAACAGGATTATAAGCACAGCTAGCTTGCTGCTTCAGCACGAGTTCGATTCCGGCCAGGGAGGTGACCCACATGGCGCAGCAGACCTCTCCTGACCCGCCCACTGCTCCCCTCAGCAGTGTGCTTCGTCCATCTGCCTGTTCTGCTCCCCACTCTGTCTCTGGTGAATCCTCTTACCACTGCACCTCTGGTCTTTAGCCCATTTCTGTATGTATAAATAAATAAATGTTAAAAAAAAAAAGATGGGGGAGCAGTGTGCAAGACAGGAGAGGTCTGCTGTGCCAGATGGGTCACCTCCCTGGCCGGGATCGAACTCATGCTGCAGTAGCTATGGCTAGTGCTGCGCTTTAGCCCCTTGTACCACCAGGGACACCCCAATTCAAAATCTTTTAATCTTGGTGATTAAATGTCATCAACTAGATGAAGTCAGGGGCTATGGTAGACTCAGGAAAGAAAACAAAGCTATTGCTTTCATCTGTCAGAAGAAAAAGGGAAGTAAGTCAGCCACTACGTCAGGTCAAACTACACCGGAGAAATCACGGGACAGGAGTAAACTGACTCAGTCCTCCTGGTGGCCTAGGGATGAAGTCTCAGTGCTGTCTCCACTGGGGCGTGACTTCGGTTCCCCGGCCAGGGAGTGACCCACAGGGTGCAGCAGACCTCTTCTGTCTCCCCGATGCTCCCTTAGCAGTGGATTTCAGTCAGTCCACCTGTTCTGCTCCCGACTCTATCTCTGGGGAGTCCTCTCAGCCCCCTGAACCTCTGTCCTATACTCAGTTATTCTTTGCAAAAAAAAAAAAAAAGTACACTAACTCAGGCTTGGGGGTCTTAGGGAAGGGGAGAGAAAGCGACATCTAGGGTAGGACCCCAGGATGAGAAGGACGCAGCCAGAGCGTGAGCAAACTATGCCAGACAGAAGCAAGGCAGAGTCGGGATGGACTCAGGAGACAGAAGCAGGGAGCCAACAGGAGCGGAGCACAGCTCGGAGGGCCTCAGCGCGGCGGCTCTCACGCTGGCCTGGGGCAGAGGATCTCGCAGCACGCAGGACTGAGAACAGTGTTCAGCGCTGCGAGCGATGGGCTGGACACGTCTGGGGATGGGACAGAAGCCAGCGGTCAGCGGGGCTGCGTCCGGCATGTGAGGCCTTTGCTGGCAGCTCCAGAGTCACTGCCGCGGGTAGGGCTTCCTCACAGCCACCTTTCTGTCATGGAACATTCCAGGCCTCAACAAGACGGTAGAAAGAAGAGCGTGGCCCGGCTCACTGAAAGGTCTTAAGCAACGTTAAGCATGGGCCTCTGTTTAGCTGCTGGAAGATGAGCAGAAGGAGACAACTCCACGGGAGCACCAAAGGGACATGGAAACGAAGGAAGGAGAGAGCTGAGACGGGACTGGAAGAAGGAAGAGGCAAGCATGAGAGCGTGCAGTAACAGAAAACAGGAGAGAGCCCAGAGATGATCCGGGGACATTTAGAAATAAAAGCCAGGAGCCATCTGAGAGAAGACAGCCGAGTAACGGAGCCTGTGGCTGCTCTCTCTGCCTTGGGGGAGAAGCGCCTCCTGTTATCCACCACTGTGGCAGAGGCGAAGAGCCAGGTAAAGGTCCAAGGAGGCTTCGGCTTTAGCTGAGCAGAGGCAGCAGGACTGGGCAGGGAGGGTGCGGGTGCAGGGAAGCCCGATACCCTGTGCGCGGGGCTCAGGCGCTCACTATTTCGCATTTGGAAAACGCAGAGACTCGCGCGCGAACGTTACTGTGCGGACACTGGGTCTGGTTCACAGCGAACACCAAAGCAGTGCCGGTGCGGCCACGCGTCAGTGCCTTACCCTTCTGCTCAGACTCTGCAGCTTCACGGTCTGCCTGGACCTGCGGCTTCTGCTTGGCTTTCGGGGGCCCCGTCTCCCCCACAGGCATTTTCTGTGACTTTGCCTGGCCTGGGTCCTGGGGAGGAAGTACGTAGGGGCAGTTAGCTACATGTGGCTTTAGGAGGAAAATGGCTACCAGAAAAACATGTCTGTGTTAGAAAAGCAAGTGAAAGAGGTACCCCAGAGGGCAAGAAAAGGAGGCTGGGGAAGGAGGGGTGCATGGAGTGTCCTCCCAGCAGAAAGCATAAGGCTGGGTAAGGCCTGTGGCAATTCAGTCGGGCTGGACAGGACCTGAGCTGAGCCAGGGGAGAATTCTCTCCTGCTGCTGAGCTCTCGTCCGTCCGTCCGTCCGCCTCTCTGGTCAGGCCTGAGCTTCTGCTTTCCTGCAGAGGAGTGCGGGTGCCTGCAACGTATCACCTGTGCCCCCTGTTCTCCACGCTGGGGCTGCAAACCCTCCACCACAGCCACCGCCTCCTCCGAGCTGGCGGGATGCTGCCCCCGCACCCAGGCCTGCAGCTCCCCGGGCAGGATGGTCAGGAACTGCTCCAGCACCAGCAGCTCCAGGATCTGCTCCTTGGTGTGGGTCTCGGGCCGCAGCCACAGGCGGCACAGCTCCCGGAGCCGGCCCAGCGCCTCGCGCGGCCCCGCGGTCTCCTCATAGCGCAGCTGCCGGAACTGCCTGCATGGCCGCTCCCAGCCGCTGCCTCTGCTGTGTCCTTGCAGCCAGAGTCCCGGTCCCCAAGTCGGGCCAGGGTCCTCCTTGACTCCCACAGGCCCCTCCTTCGTCAGGTTCAGAGGAGCCGGGGAGTGAGCCATCCCAGCCCAGACTCTGCTTGGTGTGGGGAACGTCCCTGGGACTGTCTTGCAGGGAGGTTCCTGAAAACACAGAAACGACAAGGGTCACGGACATGGCAAGAGTGGCAGGACCATACCCACCGCCAGGGCAGCAGCCCTTTGCGAGGCTTGTGCGTTTCTCACGATCGCCATCCTTTCCCCTACCTGAAACCACCACTTCTGAAAAAGGAACTCACACACAAAATGAGAAAACCGTTTTACGGGAGACTGGCAGCTCAGACAGCGAGCAGCAGGTCGGGAAAAACACCGTGTTCCCCACCCCTCTTCTCTGCCAAACAGCTGATTCCATCAAGGGCCACAAAGTGACCCAGCGGAAGGGTGATGTGAGGCGCACAGAGTCGCCACAGTCGCCTGCTCACTAGGAAGGGAAACGAGGCGCTCTGGCAGGCACAAGCTGATCACACGCTGCGTGGAATGATGCAACCCAGCGAGCCGACAGGTGGAGAACCACATGGCCTCCCCGGCGGGCCGGCACTTTCGCTCAAATACTTTCATCTGAGTCACACGACGAGGAAACTTTCCCGTACATCCACAGTGGTTTACTGAAGACAGGCGGGAACTCTACCAAACAATCAACTTCAGGAAATACAGGAGGAGCGGGACACACGCTGCTCCAGATGAAAGCCAGCCACGGGCAGTGTATGAAACTGGCTGGTGTTAAAACGAGAGAGAGACCAGTTTCGGGGGAGAATTCCGAAATCTGACTGCGAACGCAATCTAGGGGAATGACAGCCCAGCAGGCCACGCGGAGCCCACAGCCCGAGTGTTCAGGGCGTTCTACTGGAGCCGCTGTTCCCACGGTAGATGCCGTCAGAGCTTTGATACTGAGTGGCAGGCCTGAGCAGCTCCGCCCACACACACAGCCCACCACGAGCGGAGCCGATGGTACTTATATCCGGCCTTTCACAGAAAAGTCTGTAGGTCTTGACCTCCACGCACATGGGATAACAGGCTTGTGGTCATGGGAGAGATGACCCTGATTCCCAGAAGATAGTGCTAAAGCTTTCGAATGTTTCCGGAGTAAGAGAGAGTGTGTGTTATGTGTGTGTAGAGCCAGCAGGTGTGTGTGAGAGTGTGTGTGCGTGTGGAGCGAGCAGGTGTGTGTGTGTGTGTGTGTGTGTGGCCAACAGGAATGTGCAGGAAATTCCCAGGTGCCACATGGGTAGAGAGCAGCAAGCAGTGACTGTACTATTCTTTCTGCTTCTCCTGTACTTTTAAATGTACAAGATGTACACTGGAAAACTCTCAAATGTTGAGTAGGGGAAAGATATAAAATAAGTGAAACTGCTTATTTGTTCACTAAAGACAATACTGGGATTTAAGAGAATGAAAGGAAATGTGCCTCACTCCACTTCCGACTGTCTGCAGCGACAAGTCTGGTCTCCACAGCTCTGTGCTTCTCAAGAAATCTTACATGAATGAGCTTTTAAAGTGTCATCACTTTCTTGAACTTTTCTATTAAGAATTGTAGGATTTGGGCTTTTAAAATCCTACAATTCTTACAAGATTGAACAATCATGTTAAATGTACACAGGTAAATAAATGAACAATTTCTTCGGGAAAAGAAAAAAAATCCTACAATTCTTAAGAGAGAAAGGTTCAAGAAAGCGATGATTTTTAGCCAGAAATGAAGTTCACTATTGTGACAGTTACTTTTATGTACCACAGAGTGCTCACAAATGTTTGACCGAAACATTATTTTGGTGTTTTTGAGGGTGTTTCTGGATAGGATTCTAACATTTTTTTTTAAGATTTACTTTTTATTTATTTATGTATACAAGAACTGGGGTGTAGGCCAGAGGTTTGTGTGGGGTGTTGGAGGATTCACCAGAGACAGAGTGGGGAACAGGACAGGCAGATAGATCTAGTGAAATACACTGCTGAGGGGAGCAGCAGGCAAGACAGGAGAGGTCTGCCGCACCGTATGGGTCACCTCCCTGGCCCTGGATTGAACTCATGCCTCAGTGGCTGGCTGGCAATAGTTTCACTCTTTAATTCCTTTGCCAGCAGGGAGGCCCACGATTCACATTTCAATACTCGGCAGACTGAGTAAGACTGTCCTGTGTCGTGTAGGTGGGCTTCATGACATCAGGGGAAGGTCTGAATAGAAGAAAAAGGCTGACGCTCCCAGTGGGAGAGGCCTCTCCCTGTCCGATCGTCTTCAAAGCGGGATGACAGTTTTTCCTGCCTTTGGATTCAAGTGGGAACACTGGCCAGTGGGGTCGGCAGCCTTCCCACTGTACCTCCGCCACCCGAGTGTCTGGTGCCTGTGCCTTGCACTGGAACTAAGCCTGTGGTCTCCGGGGCCCCCAGCTTGCCGGTCAGCAGCTGTAAGTCTTGGGACTTGCCAGCATCCATGACTGCGAGAGCCAGTCCCTCAGGTTAAGTCTGTTTCGATGTGTCTCTATGTCTATGTGCCGTGTATGTCTGCACATTTCTCATCCGTTCTGCTTCTCTGGAGAACCGTGACCGGCTCAAGTATATGCTGTTAGTTGTGGAATTAGTGGTAGTTCATGGCTATCATGCGGTTAGTCTATTTGGAGTCAAAGTCTAGTAAACTTTCAGTCGCTCAAACATGCCATACTCTTTCCTGCTCCCGGGTCCTTCCAGAGGTTACTCCTGCTGGAACCCTATTCGCTACACCCTTCAGCCTTCTTCTCTGTAACGCCCACACACATTTCACGCGCCCACCAATTCAGCAATGCACTGTGCTCACCAAGTATTACCGCATTTATACACCCCTTGCACCCCTACAAAGAGGACACTACTACGAACATCCCTGTACAGAAATGGAAAAGCAGGCAGGAAGCAAGCCCAGGGCTGACCCTGATCCCCTCTTCACTATCTCTTGTGGGCGGTCGCAGGCTGAAAACCTTTTCCCGTATCGTCACACTCACACCCGAGCCCGCGGGCTGGACGTGACCCAGTCGCGCCTGACCCCTGCCTGCCTTCCTGCCGTGCCCCTTGAGCTCCCGTCTGCGGAGGCCTGAAAGTCAGCTCCTACTCGTCCCGCCCAAATGCCCCGACCTCTCTCCCCGGAAAGGGCCACATTTCGGAGACCACAGCGAGGGTGTGCGCCGCCTCCCCCCCCTCCCGCAGCTCCGGCCGGCGGCCTCCCTGCGGGCCTGCGGCCTTCGCGCGTGACCCAAGGGCCGGGTCCTCGGGCTGCTGCTGCCACAGAACCTCGGAGGGCCGACCCCGACCACCCGGCGCCCGGCCCCTCCCACCCCGCCGCCAGCGGGGCGGCCTCTGCACCCCGAGGGAAGCCGCGGCTCCCCGGGCCTGGGCAGTCTGGGGGCGCAGTCACCACTCACCGGGCCGCGGACCCGCAAGAGGACCGCCGGCGGGCTCCCAGCCGGGCTTCGCCCCCAGCCGAGCGCCAGTCGCCGCGGCGGCGCCTCGCGGCCGCTCTAGGAAGCCGGAGGACCGCGGCTCGGTGGTTGCCCGGCGCCCGCCGAGCGCTCTGGGGTGTCCCCCAGCCGCGTGCGGTGGCAATTTGATTTTATTTCACTTTTAAGCTGCAAAAAAAGTTTTTTTCCACGTAAAATTAGGCCACCCGGGTTAGGGTTTTCGCAAACGGCCGGCCCTGTCTATTTTCTCACGCACATCAGTGAGACACTGTTTATAACAGTTTCTCCACAGTATCTCCACAGTCAAACTCGACGGCGAAGACAGTGTCCGGGCACTTGGATGCTTAAATTGAAGCATAAGCATACCTTGGGATGGTAGATGCAAGGTAATACAATTAAGTCTGTATTATTGCTGTGCGGAAGAATAATCAACACTACTTTGCAACGTATGTAGGTTTCTGGGGCAAAGAAGCGTGGGAGGTCACTGTGCCGGAATTAGTTAACAGAAGAAAACAGAACTATTTCTTTTCGTCCACCTCATTACCATTTACAGTCTTTGAATAAAATAAATCCTTCTGAAAAATTCCAACAAACTTGCTTAATCGGTTGTAAGTTTTGAGGCAGCATGAAGTAGCTTACCAGCCACTGTTTTCAACAAATGCAGCTTCAAGCACTGAACAGAAAAGGAAAAAAGCAAGTGTCATCACAAGATTATCTTTTCTCTTGTTGGCCCTCAGACCTTAAAAATATCTTAAAAAACGACATGTACTTTAAAACTTTTCCGTAGGTGATAAACTCCCGTCAAAGTAAATGTTAATATTCTGTCTTGAAGAGAAGACTCGTAACTATATTTTGACGAAGTACACTGCTGAGGGGAGCAGCGGGCGGGTCAGGAGAGGTCTGCCGCGCCGTGTGGATCTCCTCCGGGGCAGGCGGGGATCGAACTCATGAGGAAGTGGCTTAAGCTTCTTTGTGCTGCGCTTTAACCCGCTGCGCCACCAGGGAGAGCCCCAGAGTACTTATTTTTGATGAAAGAACCTAATTCTCAAACTTGAGATTTGCATTTTCCAAGCTAATGTCTTGTTTGCAGACAAGATGGTTGTGTTTGGTTCCTCTAGGGTCAATCACCAAGTGTTCAAAATACACACTTCCTGTTCTATAAGATCACTACCAGCACTATTGCGTTGGAAATCATACTGCCACACTAGAGAGTAAGAATGATCTTTTCGTAATGTCTTCTTTCTGCTTCCACCCTTACCAGAACATCTCATTACTCTGAATTTTGAAATGGAAGATTAATTGTTCTGAGGAATCAAAACCTAACAAATGAATCTATTAAACCTAACCCGTAGTTATGTGTAAGAAAGATCTACAACTTTAAATCATATTAATAGGCTAATAAAGAAAAATCTTATGATCTCACAAATGCTAAAAAAAATCCACTTAATAAAATGTACTTCTGATGAGAAAGGGAAGCTCTTAGTGAGAAGAGATGAGTATTGCCTTTATGTGGCAAAATTCAATACATCTTCAACAAAAGCCTCCCTCATACTTGATGATGAAGTCTTACAAGTATTCTCATAAAAATCCAGTTGAATTTGCGAAGAATAAAAGGGTAATTCTTTACACTTAAATTACTGATAGCTATAGGTAAAAAACAAAATAGACTTTCCTTTTTTAGTCTTAAGTTCTAAGAACTTGAAAATTTTTCTCATGAAATACCCACTAGGACCCTATGTTGGTGAGGTCTAGGGGCGAGGAAAGGGGATAATTTCATGAAACTTAAAAAATGGGAAAGTTGATGTTTTATAAAATTTATCATTTGTGGCCCTCCCTGGTGGCGCAGCAGGTTAAAGCGCAGCACTGAGAAGCTAAAAGCCGCTTCCGCATGAGTTCGATCCCCGCCTGCCCCGGAGGTGACCCCAGGGCGCGGCAGACCTCTCCTGACCTGCCCGCTGCTCCCCTCAGCAGTGTACTTCGTCGATCTGCCTGTTCTGCTCCCCACTCTGTCTCTGGTGAAGCCTCTCGCCACCCCTGAGCCTCTGGCCTGTACCCCAGTTCTGTATGCACAAATAAATCTTAAAAGAAAATTTATCATTTGTAAATCAATCAGCAGTAAACTGCTTTCGTGGGCTGTTTCTTAGCACTAAGAAGTCAGTGTAACTGGTGGTCCAGGCCAGCTACTTTATCTTTTCAACTTCCCGTTCAAGCAAAGTTTAATAATAAAGTGATTCTGATGGTTAATTGAAACCTAAACATGACACAGAATGTCTGTCTTTCTTCTCCACAACTCATAACCTTTACTGTGGTTAAACTACTGACAAATAAAGTTGCTTTAACTTCTTTTATTAGATCCCTTGAGTCAATGTGCTATCCAATCAAATCCCAATTCCAGTCTCTTTTTAGGCAGATTTACTGGTCAGGTTTAACTGTACTAGCAACATTACTAAGCAGCCAATTAGGCACAAGGACAGCACAAAAAGCTCTCACAAAAACTACTATTTGTTGCATCGTATTTTGTCTATTTGAAAAAGAAGCCCACCAATTTTACCTGGCCTTACTTATAAGAAAACATGATACTTGACATAAAGGGTTTATTATTTGAAGAATGTGTATGAGCAATGAGAACAGGGTGGACACAAATGGACAAAGGTTATGATGTCGAGAATTCACCAGGAAAAAAAGCAAGACATATACTTGAAAACATGCTCAACTTTACTCTTACAGAAATGGACATTTTTTAAAACGCCACTTTCACCTAGTAGATCGGCAAAGGTCAAAAGGTTTAAAAGTACAGTACTGGGGGAGGTACAGGTGGGTCTGTGAACTCACATCCGCTCTGGAAGGCATTGCTGCAATACTGTTAAAATGCCGTTGGGCAGCGTAAGCAGGACATCCTCAGCCTTGCCTCTCCACTCTGGCAACAACGTCCCCCACACACTGCCTCCAGCCGCTTATTTTCTTCTCGGCAAGCCAGGAAATTATATGTGCGTATGTTAACTTTTTAAAGTCTGTCTCCCCCTAGAATGTAAAACATCTGATGACAGTTATCAAATCTAACTTGTTCCTTGGCTTCCCCCTAATACAGAACTTTGTTCCTAGCACAAAGTAACCACCTAGTGCATTTTTTCCTTTTGATCCAGTAATTCCACGGCCAGGTGATCATTTTTAGATGTTCCATAGGATCCTTGTTGATCCAGTAATATTACTTCTAGATATGCTATAGATAACACACAGGTTTTTCACTACACTATTGTGTAAGAACAAAATAAACATTTTAGTCAATAAAATATACTTCCACACAATAGGCCACTATAAGATCACTTGAAAGAACGAGGTAGTTTTAAATGTATTGATAAAAAAAATCTCCAAGATGTAATGTTAAGTGTAAAAAAGGTACAGGTATTTGTATGTTGCATGGTCTGATTCTGTAAAATGGACACTGAAACTTGTAACAAGCTGGCTTCCACCAGTCTACAATCCTTTTGGAGGAAAATCTCAAGCTAGTGTGGTCTCGTGTATCAACACATTAAGCCTCAGGTTCAAGTGAAGTCCCCTTTCACATAACACCGCCCAGCCGGATTCTAGAACCCCACCCCTCACCTTCAGCAGACTCTCGGGGTCGTCAGGACTCTAAGACAGTCCTGTTCTCTTCAGCAGCGGACCAGGAAATACAAATCTAACTCGGGCGCTTTGGCAGACCTTTTGCTACTCAAGGGAAACCAGCCTGAAGAAGCAGCTGAACGTGAAAAATAAACTACAGGCCGACAGCAAACCTGTCCTGCGGGACTTCGCAGTACAGAAGCCAAGCCATCTTCACTCCAGGCAGATTCCAGAAGCACATACTCAACTGAACCCTCTGTTTTTTTCTGGGGTTCTTTACTCCTCCCTGAGGCTTCATGAGGCCAAAGAGAAAAGTCAGGGCAAGAGGAATTAAATAACAAACAAAACACAGAAACACTTGGGGTAGATAGCAACCCCAAGTTTTATCTTGCATATGCTAAAAAACTATGAGGGATAGAGAAGACAGCAAAAAAGGTATTGCTTTGGGGAGAACCAGAGATTAGGCTGAAAGACTCTTTCTATACACAGACTCTCTTGTAGTCTGAATGTTTTGAAAACTATGTGCAAATACTCCTTCAAGGTAAAAAAATAACCAAAGAAGTTTTTTCTAAAGATATCTCATGAAGCAGTTTTTTCTTCAGGGACTTATTAACAGAAGTAGGTACAACAGACTACACAGCCTTTGAAACACTATGCCGGGCCAGGGAAACTGTTAAGTCGTACTGCAGGGTGAAAACCCTATTTGTCCTCTTTCCCTTTTGTCTTTCTGCACACCATCTCTCGGAAACTGGCCAGGATCTTATTCTCTCTCTTCCGTCGTTCTTCCTGGTTGAAGGACGCGAGCGCTCTCTTCTCATCAGCGCTGTAGATCTGGTTCTCTTTGCGCAGCCGGACCGCCTCCATTCTGCGATGCCTGCTACCACTCATAACATAACCTGAGCACTCGAATGAAGCAATCTCTTCGCTGGTGAGCCCGATCTCCCCGCGTCGTGGAATACGCTTTCCAGCTTTGACGTACTCGGCCATCGCTGCTCCTTCTCCTGGGAGCAGCGCATGACCGTAGTTCAGAGGCTTCTCATCTTGGCACGCGTGTGTGACAGGTGCTTCCGGCCCTATTAGGTCCGTGGCATCTGCGATCTTAAGCCGCTTCATCCAGGTATCTTCTGGCAACTCCCCTTCCGAATCCCTATTGCTCAAGTCACTCGATTCTTTCTTTGTTTTCTTACTCTTCTTTTTCTTGGGCTTTTTGGCTCTGTGCTTCTTTTTCTTCTCTTTCTTCTTGGCTTTCTTGGCTCTCTTCCGGTCCTCACTGGAGCTGCTGTCGGTGTCCGAGTCCGAGTTACTGTCACTATTATCAGAGTACCTCCTGTGCTTTCTCTTGGACTTTCTCTTTCGTTTCTTCTTGTTTTTTGGGCGACTAGTCTTCTTCCTTCTTCCTTCTGAGCTGGACTCTGAGCTGCTGCTCTTGGGAGTCTTGGCCTCTCCATCGGGAGTGTGCTCATCAGAATCCGGCTCGGGAAACTTTGGGGACAGCCCCCACACCTCAGGAGCCCCCAGCTCCCCGATCCGTTCTCTCTCCCTCAGCCTCCGCTGCCTGAAGCTCTCCTGCGTCTCCTTCTCACAGTCTTCCGCCCACTGGCGGTCGCCCGCATGGCGGTGGTGGTGAGGGTAGCGGTGCCCGCCGTGGTAGAGCGAAGGGGACGAGACGGCGTGGTTGCGGGGCCCAGGCGGCCGCTCTCGAGACCCCGCGCAGCCCAGCGGGTAAGGGGCGGCGGGGCCCGACCCAGCCCACGGCCGCCGGAGGCCCTCGCGGCCGCGGGAGGGAGAGCGGGAACGGCCGTCGCCAGGGCAGTGCGTCGCCTGCGCGAACGGCGGGCTCCCCGACGAGCTGTGCCGCCGTCTCCGGGAGCCCGGGGCGTCCCCGGGGTAACGGGACCCCGACACCGGTGCCATAAACGGCGCTCTCGGCCGCCAGCGACGGCCCACGCCGGGCGGTTACTACAGAAACCCGACGGCCGCGCGAGGCCTCCGGCGCAGGCGCAGAGCAACGGTTCCCGCGCATGACTTCCGCTTCCGGCCTGTTGCCAGGCGACGGCCAAGCACGCGCGAGCCCTGTGGCGTCTTTTTGGACGGATGCTGGAGGTTGCCTCCCCGGTGGGTAAAGGGACGTCTGCGCCCCGGGTTTCAGGATTTATACGTCCCCTGGGAAGCACAGGAAACCAGTTTGCTCCGGGCTTATTGACGTTTCCGCGCCCCGACAAGAGTATCGCAGCGTGGAGCCAAGGAGCCCCTCAACATTGAGGCCACCGCGCCGGTTTCCCACGGCTTTGGTTATTCGCTGTTTCCAGGGCAGCCCGTGCGTGTCTTCTCCTGAGCAGATGCTGTAGTAAGCTGCTGTCCAGGTCAGCCGTGGGGTGGGTAGGCCTTCGGCGTTGCTCATCCCCGTACCCCACGACTCCCACCTCCAGGGGGGAAGATAAGGTGATGATGACACAGGCATCTACAGAGTGGCCACTCTGTGCTCCGCAAAGTGCTGGGTAGGTGCTTACACGCACTCCTTAATTCCAACCTCACCATAACCATTCTCTTCTGGGATCTGCCACCAGAAAATGCCACAAACGGAGCCACTTAGCAACTGAAATGTACGTATTGTCTCACAGTCCTGAAGGGTCAGATCAAGGCGTGGTGGGGGTTGGTTGGTCCCTTTTTAGGACTCTGAGGAGGACGCAGGACCTTCTGCTGCTTTTCTGGCATTGTGGTGTTCCCTGACCTGTCCCTCATCACCGGGTTCCCTGCCTTGGTGTACACGTGGTCTTCTCCCACACGTGTGTCTCTCACTCTTCTCAAATGTCCCCTTTTTATAGGGCCCATACTACTCACCCACTTTATTGATTACCTTGGTGAAGACCCCACCACCAAATAAGATCACCTTATCAGGTACTGGGGTTTAGGGCTTTACCATACCTTTTTTGAAGAGGTACAATTTCATCCAGAACAATAGCCAAATTTTAGATTATAATCTCTGTTTACAAATGAAAAACCGAATAAGAGTAGGTCAGACATCTGCCCAAAGTCAAAGAGACTGGGTTAGGTGAATTTTTGTGAGGACTCCAGAGTCCTCATCTGTGAACTGTTGTAGTTTCCTCATCAGTTTTTGTTTGCGTGTTAGCTTTTTTCTATTTACTTGTAGAAGGAAGGTGGGAATTTGTTTAATTAAAAGACAGTTACTGGGCCCTCCCTGGTGGCACAGCGGGAGCAGGCCCCAGCCGCTTCGGTGCCGGTTCCATCTCTGGCCCCGGAGGTGACCCCCAGGGCGCAGCAGACCTCTCCTGGCTCCCCACTGCTCCCCCAGCAGTGTAGTTCGTCCGCGTCTCTGTTCTGCTCCCCACTCTCTCTTGCGAATCCTCTCACCACCCCTGCACCTCTAGCCTGTACCCCGGTTCTGTATGCATGAATAAAACTTATTAAGAAAGAGAGAAGAAGGAAAGAAACAAACAAAAACCAAAGGTGTAGTCTTCGTTCCCCCAGCGCGGCACCTGCCGTCCTTTCTCGCCCTCCCCTGCGCTGCCAGCCCGTGCAGGCGAGGACATGGTCGCCAAAGGGTTAAGCCGGGACGGCCACCGAGAGGCGCGTGCTAGAGTTCCCGGGAAGCGGCCCCGGCCCGCCCCGCGGAGGCTTCCTGCGGGGGCCCCGCCTGGGTTTGGGTCCCGG